ACAGGAGGAGGTCAAGCCCTGCAACAGCTAGGCAAACCCAAGCACAGTAGCAAAGATCCAGTGCAACCAAAAATTAAATTAATGGATTAACTCTTTTTTAAAAAAAAAAGCACTTGGAAGAGCACCTGGCACAGAGAAGGGGCAGCAAACAAGTGGTGTGAACTAGCCCAGGAACCAGGCTGTCCTGAGTTCCTGGGCCCAGGGTCATTTGACCAGACAGATTCAGATCCCGGCCTTGGGACAGAGCCCTCTCACTGGGGTCCCCCTCATTCAAGCTGGGCTTCATACTAGAGAAGGACACTGCAGGATCCTCCAGGCACTGCTTGTCCTCCTGGTCACTGGGCAGAGGATGCTGCTGGGAGAGGGGGGCCTGCCTCCCCCCCCACTCACACAGCTTGTCTATTCCTTTTATATTTACTTATTTGGCTGTGCCTCACATCTTGTGGTATATTAGTTCCCAGACCAGGGATCAATTTCAGGCCCCCTGCAGTGGAAGCACAGAGCCCTAACCACTGGACCAGTAGGGAAGTCCTTTCTCTGTTTCTTTTAATGTTGGTAGTATTGAGCTGTTTTACTAAAGATTTGGGTTTCTTGGGGACTTCTCTGGTAGTCCAGTGGTTAAGACTCTGCACTTCCACTGCAGGGGGTCCAGGGTTCAATTCCTGGTCAGGGAGTTAATATCCCACATGCCACCTGGCACAGTAAAAAAAAAAAAAGACCTGTGTTTCTTAAGAGATGCTGGACGCTTCATGACTGTGCTTCTAATCCACAGGAGTGGACACAACCCTCCTGTTGCCAGGAGGAAACATGTAAACAGGGAAGTGCAACCCCCCTATCCCAGCACCCCCACAGCCCTGGTTCACAAAGGGAGGACTGACTCTCAAAGGGAACTGCAGAGGCTGTCTAGAGAACAGACCCCACAACCTCAAGTACACCACATTCCTAACCTTTAAAATTGAGCATGGAGCCTTGGGACTCTGACCCCAAAATGAACCCTCCAAGGAAACCTAAAACTAATAAGAAAGTGAAAATCGCTCAGTCATGTCTGACTCTTCGTGACCCACATGGACTATACAGTCCATGGAATTCTCCAGGCCAGAATGCTGGAGTTGGTAGCCATTCCCTTCTCCAGGGGACCTTCCCAACCAAGTGATTGAACCCAGGTCTCCCAAATTGCAGGCAAATTCTTTACCAGCTGAGCCACCAGGGAAGCCCAAGAATACTGGAAATGGTAGCCTATTCCTTCTCCAGCATATCTTCCCTACCCAGGAATCAAACCGAGATCTTCTGCATTGCAGGCAGATTCTTTACTAGCTGAGCTACCAGTGACTCCCAAAACTAATAAAGAAAGTATTTGAAAGCAGGACCCCTAATCTGAGAAGTCAAGCCGAGAAGACAAGTCATTACATGGAAAAGAAAAACACAGAGGAAAAAAAAATGTTTAAATAAAAAAAACCACCATGAGTTAAGGATAGATGTAAATTCATTTTCCAGATGAAGCATTTAGAAATCATCTCTTGGACCTTAAGTAGGTCAAGCTTTAAATCTAGCATTATAGCCATGCCCTGGTGCCTGCACCTTAATAGGTTAGAGAGAGACCTTCAGACGCCTTTGGCCTGGCAGGCAAGCCGGGTGCCTGGTCTCTGAGTTAGGAGCTGAGTGAGCTCCCACATGCTTAATCCTTACACTGTCAGGCTTTAGCCCACAGCTAGTGTGCTTGCTAAAAATCAGAGTAAACTTTCCCGTGTTCAAATTTTTATGAGGAGCCCCATGATTACAACAAAAGCCACTCAAAGTCAGAGTCACTCTGCTAGTCTCACATATATGATAGCAAAAAAAAAAAACAAAACCTAGGGTATCCTTACTTGTCTCCGAAGGGACCTGGAGAAAAATGTTGGTTTCATATATCAAGTAATTGCTGATTCAGACTTCCCCGGGTGGTCCAGTGGTAAGTACGGGATGCAGGTTCAATCCCTGGACTGGGAACTAAGATCCCACATGCCGTGGAGCAATTAAGCCCACCTGTTCCGGAGCCCACATGCCGCAACTAGAGAGTCCGTGCCCCGTAAGGAAAGATCCCACATGACTCTGAAGATCCTGCATGCAGCACCGAAGCCCTGACACAGCAAAAAATAAATAAATAAATTGCTGTTTGAAGAGCCAAAGGGCCCTTATTTTTAAGAGATGCTTAAACCGAGTTTCCTGTGAATGTGGCATTGTGAGAGGGGTGCTGCTGCCCGTCAGCCAGCCCCACCCAGCAGATGCCCAAACCAGGGGCGTGTGTCTAAAACGAGCCCGTTCTCTGCGGGCTCCCCAGGGAAAGACGGATTTCTGACCAAGCTGCTGCCTGATCTGGGGGAAGCTCCACGTCAAAGTGTCCAGGTCACTCAGAGACCTCGTCTGCTCTTTCCCTTAACAGTACAGTAACACAGAAGGATTTGATGTCAGGGGATGCCCTTAGGGGGGATTCATAACCATAATAGGGGGGATTCATAACCATAATAGGGCGGCTACCTTGTTTGTTAGATTAAGATGAAGGGATCTGAGGCCCCAGGGCATGAACTCACCTGACACCTCCTTGCTCTGTTGTTGTTCCGTCCTAAGTCGTATCTGACCCTGTGACCCCATGGACTGCAGCACACCAGGCTCCCTTGTCCTCCGCTGTCTTCTGGAGTTTCTTCAGATTCATATCCATTGAGTCAGTGAGGCCAACCAACCATCCCATCCTCTGCTACCCGCTCCTCCTTTTGCCTTTCATCTTTCCCAGCCTCAGGGTCTTTTCCAGTGAGTCAGCTCTTTGCATCAGTGTAGTATTGGAGCTGCAGCTTCAGCATCAGTCCTTCCAATGAATATTCAGGGTTGATTTCCTTTAGGATTGACTGGTTTCATCTCCTTGCAGTCCAAGAGACTCTCCTTGCTGTGGGGCCTTGGGCAGGTTTCTTGACCCCTCTGTGCTTGAGTTTCCTCATCCACAAAATGAGGATAATAGTATATATGTAGAGATGAAATAGATATGGATATAGGCTGCAGTCCATGGGGTCGTGAAGAGTCAGACATGACTGAGAGACTTCACTTTCACTTTTCACTTTTATGCATTGGAAAAGGAAATGGCAACCCACTCCAGTGTTCTAGCCTGGGGAATCCCAGGGATGGGGTCACACAGAATTGAACATGACTGAAGTGACTTAGCAGTAGCAGCATAGATATAGATAGTCTAAGAGTTTTTATGAGGATTAAGTGAGTTACATGTAAATCGTTGAGGGGGGGCAGGACTTCTCTACTACTACTGGACTTCTCTACAGGTGGTGATCCATCTTGCAATGCAGGGTACACAAGTTCAATCCATGGTCGGGGAAATAAGAACCCACAAGCTGCAGAGCAATCAAGCCCATGTGCTACGACTAGTGAGCCCAAGCGTTCAGGGACCCCTGCACTAGAGAGAGCCACACGTGCCACAAGGAAGATCTCATGTGACACAAACTAAGACCTGACATTGCCAAAAACAAATAAATAAATATTAAAAAATAAAGCAGTATATCATTGAGGGAAGTGCCTAGTCCACAGCAAGAGCTCAGTCAATGGTGGTTGACATTATAACTAATTAACTATCATTATTCTCATGCACCCAGCAAATACTTACTGAGCATCTCATATGTACCTGGCTGTGCGCTGGGCTTTTTACCATCATACCTGACACCACACAGTACCATCTGGATATTTATAAGCAATGCGTACAAGCAGACAGATGCATAAATTCTAATTGTACAGCTTGATTCATTGTAATAAAATATATAACACTCATGGAAGCCACTCCCCAGATCCAGACAGACAGCATCACCAGCCCTCCAGAAGTCTCCTTCTGCTCTTCCCCAGTCATAGGCACCCCTCCTCTGGGCAGGCGATCACTGGCTGCGGCATCAGTGTTTCCTGAAGCAGCAGTCTGCCCATGTTTGCTGCTATATAGTATCCCCTCGTGCAAATAGGAAGATTCTTGACATTTCTAATTTAGAATTTCTCAAATGTCGTGTCCTTCCTCATCAGTGCTTCCAGACCATTTTCTTTGAACTTTAATATCTTCAGAATATGCACTCCCTTACCTTTCCTTGTCGCAGTCTTCTGGTCACAAAGTTGTCATAGCCTCTCAGTCCTCCAGAAATGCCATCACTCTCTCTGTGCCCACTCCCCATGTAGGGCAGGTGACTGCTAATCCATGGCGACAACCCTCCCCCACTGCCTGACTTCCCTCCACATTGCCTCAGCTCTGCATTCTCAAGATCTCACCCTGACCTTAGCTTTACCCACTAGTAAAGGACAACTTCTCTGAAATCTCAGCCTCAGACATCATTCTCTCTGACTCCACCACCAACTTCCTTCTAAGCCCTCCACTCCCAGCTCCAGTAATCCTTAGCTCCTACAGACCTTCACTCCTCCAGCCCAACCACCTCCTCCCTGGACTCAACTCCCGCATTTTCTCTCTTCCCTTCTTGACATGGGGTAGGACACTGTGGTCCTTGCCCACGTCCCACCATGTCCTCTGTCTGACTTTTGTCTATGGACAAACTTTAGCCAAAGGGTAAGTGTAATCAGAGAAGTGAAAAAATGCAGAAAGAAGGGAAAATAGTCCAATAGGAGTAAATTATAATAGTTTAGTCATTAAACAAATCAAGGACCTTTAGTTCCTTCTCAAGGGCCCTAGGTAATATTCTGAGCCATATCCTGTGAGCTGTCTTATAGAGACTGAAACCCGCATCAGGTGGAAGACTTAACTACATGATGACCAGAGTGTCGCCATGACATAAGCTGCCACAGTTCTGAGAATTGGTCTCAAAGAAATGGGGACAAATTGACCCCATTTGGAACTGAAGGTAAACTGTGCTTGAAACAATCAAGATGACACTGACCACTGGGGCCTGATTTCAAGATGACTATTTAAAAAATGACTATCAGAGGAAGATCCTCTCGGCCGAGGGTGGCAGCCAACTGCTGTGAGCGCACGGGGAGAGGCCCAGGCGGCGGCGGTGGCGGTAGCAGCAGCAGCAGCAGCAGCTCTCGGGTTGCGGTGAAGAGTGTCAGCCACTAGCGTGGATCAGAGGCCTAAAGGGCAAGGAAATAAAGTTTCAGTACAAAACGGTTCGATTCATCAAAAAGATGCTGTAAATGATGATGATTTTGAGCCATACTTAAGTAGCCAGACAAATCAGAATAACAGATATCCACCAATGTCAGATCCATACATGCCTAGTTACTATGCTCCATCCATTGGATTTCCATATTCACTTGGGGAAGCAGCATGGTCCACAGCTGGAGACCAGCCTATGCCATATCTGACAACCTATGGACAGATGAGTAATGGAGAGCATCATTATATACCGGACGGTGTGTTTAGTCAGCCTGGGGCATTAGGAAATACCCCTCCATTTCTTGGTCAACATGGATTTAACTTTTTTCCTGGTAATGCTGATTTCTCTACATGGGGGACAAGTGGATCTCAGGGACAATCAACACAAAGTTCTGCTTATAGTAGCAGTTATGGTTATCCACCTAGTTCTCTTGGGAGAGCTATTACTGATGGACAGGCTGGATTTGGCAATGATACTTTGAGCAAGGTGCCTGGCATTAGCAGTATCGAGCAAGGCATGACAGGACTGAAAATTGGTGGTGACCTGACCGCTGCAGTGACGAAAACTGTAGGAACAGCATTGAGCAGCAGTGGTATGACCAGCATCGCAACCAATAGCGTGCCCCCAGTTAGCAGTGCGGCTCCGAAACCCACCTCCTGGGCAGCCATTGCCAGAAAGCCCGCCAAACCTCAACCGAAACTTAAACCCAAGGGCAATGTGGGCATCGGGGGTTCCGCTGTGCCGCCACCTCCTATAAAACACAACATGAATATTGGAACTTGGGATGAAAAGGGGTCAGTGGTAAAGGCTCCACCAACCCAACCAGTTCTGCCTCCTCAGACTATAATCCAGCAGCCTCAGCCATTAATTCAGCCACCACCCCTGGTGCAGAGCCAACTGCCTCAACCGCAGCCTCAGCCGCCACAAGCGCAGCAGCCGCAAGGACCTCAGCCACAGGCCCAGCCTCACCAAGTGCAGCCCCCGCAGCCGCAGCTGCAGAACCGCTGGGTGGCGCCCCGGAACAGGGGGGCCGGCTTCAACCAGAACAATGGAGCGGGCAGTGAAAACTTTGGTCTAGGTGTCCTTCCTGTCAGCACTTCCCCGTCGAGTGTGGAAGTGCATCCCGTGCTGGAAAAGCTAAAGGCCATAAACAACTACAATCCCAAAGACTTTGACTGGAACCTGAAGAACGGACGTGTGTTTATAATTAAGAGCTATTCTGAGGACGACATACACCGTTCCATTAAGTACTCTATCTGGTGTAGTACTGAGCATGGGGATAAGCGTTTGGATGCGGCTTACCGTTCCCTGAATGGGAAAGGCCCACTCTATTTGCTCTTCAGTGTGAATGGCAGCGGACACTTCTGCGGAGTGGCTGAGATGAAGTCTGTTGTGGACTATAATGCGTATGCTGGTGTCTGGTCTCAGGATAAGTGGAAGGGCAAATTTGAAGTTAAATGGATCTTTGTCAAAGATGTCCCCAATAACCAATTACGGCATATTCGCTTAGAAAATAATGACAACAAACCAGTTACCAATTCAAGGGACACTCAAGAGGTACCCCTAGAAAAAGCTAAGCAAGTGCTTAAAATAATTGCTACTTTCAAGCATACCACCTCAATCTTTGATGACTTTGCACATTATGAAAAGCGTCAAGAAGAGGAGGAAGCCATGCGTAGGGAGAGAAATAGAAACAAACAATAACCCTATGAAGATGTCCTGTTAGAATTACAACACTAATGATGTAGACTCTGGAAATGCCTAATAAGTCAAAGAAGGCGTTATTAAAGCTTTTTTCTGCTTAAGGTGACATCTCTGAACTCTAATAACACAGAATGGACTCTTCTTGTAATGGTTTTCATCAGCGCGTCTGCCCTTACACTCACCAAACACACTTGAGAACTGTAACTCTGTCAAGCACTTTCTGTCCTGAGGCTTTTACCAGTATCTGCTGTCTTTTGTAATTATGCATCCTAGCTAAGGCACAGAAGACTGAATGAATGCAAGGATTCATTAACTCTTTGAATTTGTTAAATACTAACAGTTAACCATTAGAAGTGGTTCAATGATGTAAGAGTCACACTGCTTCAACTTTTTCTTTGTTGTAGTTTTTAAATTGTCAATTTTTAGCTATTTGACAGATTAAAAGCAAAAGAATCATGCCATACTTAGTCCTGGAGTTCAAGTCTAAATGTTTATGTGAAAATTATTTTAGTAAACTTTTAATATGGCAAAGCAACCTTAAGCTCTATTTTAGCCAAAATGAAACATAATCTGAGATTATATTAGAACATTTCCCTTGTCTTCAAACTGGTGTAACAGAATATTGATATGCAGCTTGGTGGGTCTCACCAGTTAATGCACATTCTTCTCCCCTCCTTCCCCCAATAATATGTATACTGAAAAATGTGCATTTATCTGAGGATTTATTTTGTTTGCTACCACTTAATGAATCTCAAAATTTTGAGTAATGTACCTCAGTCTAATCAGACTTTTTATGACCTTTACAACTACATTTAAAACCCTTAATTCCTATTTCTGGGTGTTTGTGAGCCTGATTGCTATCATGAAGTAAAAATTTATTACTCGAGGTATTCACTAGCTAAATAAACATAGTTCTTGTTTAGCAAGCATATATTGTTCCTCAACTCCTTTCTCCGGCTTTTGCGGTGTCCTGGCATCCTTAAAATATTTGAAAATATGGCCTTGATCCATGGATTAAATCAGTATCTAAGTGAATGTGTTGATGTTTTATTGATCAGATCTATATAAATGGGAATACAGCATATATCTGGGTATTCTTATAGTTATCTTTTTAACATCTTATTTTTTTCATTAATGACATATCAACGTTAATTTTGTATCTTGAAACAAATTGATTTTGTATAATTAAACATATCAAGCATCTGTATTACCTGATTTGATGGCATATGGTTATGAAATAATGTACTGCCCCTTATATTACGGTTCCAAAAGGAGAAAGCTATGTAGAAAGATACATTAAGGATGGAAATAGCAATATAGTAGATTTGAATACCTTGATGTTTTGCATTACTCCACTTATGTTTACATCATGTTTAGAAATGTTTTCATTACTCTGGTCTTTGGTCACTTCAACTCAAAAATTTAGTGACAGATATTTCTTTGACGCTTTCATTTATATGATTTTTTTTTGTACAATATTTTCTTAAAATGTACAAATACTGTATTCAGGTGAAAAAAATACAGTATTTGTAGATAAATTGTAGTGACTTCACAGTGCTTTGGTAGTCCCAGCATAGTCATCAGTGTTTACTGAAGGGAACATCAAAATATTAATAGTGTATTACAAAAATCAAGACTTTCTTAAAGGAAAATTGCACCTATTTTACCTTTTTCAGAGTAAGCCATGAAATCTTGTAAGATATCTCTTAACTATTTATAAGGAAAATTGGCGTTTGTGTGTAGTCCCCGCAGCAGCGGTCCACATCCCTTGGATTATGTAGGTAGGACGGGTTAGAGAGGATCATTGTCACTCTGAAGGTCCTGTGGGAGAAAACTGTGAGGAGTGACCTTGTAGAAAGGCTCTGAGTCCTCTGAGCTTCTCTTTTTTTTTGGTGCTTTATTAGCAACTCTGAATATTTTTTATAAAACTAGTTGTTACATTATTCACAGATCGAAACTTGTTTAATTTACAGTAGGTTTCTGTGTAAGAAATGTCACAGAACTCTCAGCAGGCAGGCTGATTACAATAGCAAACTCAGAAGTGTCACATGTAGTTCTACTCGTGGTGAGGAGTTCCTCCCAGTGCCTTTAACCTGGATTTCTAATATTAAGTGAAATGGGTGCAGCATTCCTTTGGGAAAAACGAAAACAAAACCTTTCAATCGGTGAAATTTTTTTTTTCCCCTCATTTAAGTTTTCTTCAGAGTACCTGTTTTCTCTCCCTTCTTGGTCTGTCAATGTACAGCAGAATATTTTTCCTCTTAATTGAAAGGATCGCAGGTTGTCTCGTTAGCACAAGGAACGGGAGGTTTCCTAACTCCCGGGACCCAGAAGGGTGAGAAACCGGGCTCTTCAACAGGAGACTGACCCGATGTTTTGAGCAATCACAGATTGAGACATTATTGGCCCAGTAAACTCCTTGCCTAATGTTTTTCCAAGATCTGGTTTGAATGTTTCTTAATTAAAGTTTTCTTATATGGGTGTTTTATTTTGAAAGGTATTATATATTTTGTATATTTAACAGTAAGGGGGAAAATGTAACCAAAATTAGTATTCTTTCTCTATACATACTGGTACTTGAAGATTCCTTTCAGAAGAAACCCCAGCCTTTCCCTGAGTTCAGTCCTCGTTTTAACTGAAGTGATCTTTTTAATTCTGAAGCTGTGTTCTTTTTGAATACCGTGCATGGGGGTTAAAGCTGATGTTAAAACAGTTTGCAATAAAAACAAAAAAAGAGAAAAAAAAATGACTATCAGAGCTGACTGTGCTGTTTCTGCCTCTAGCCGCCTCTAGCCTATAAAAGCTCTTAGGCACTGATTGTCAGTGGGAGGGGAGTCAACCTTTGGACTGGAGAACGCTCCCCCAACACACAGTTTGCAGGCATCCAAAATAAAGCAAACTTTTCTTTCCACCAATTTGGCCTCCTTATTGGCACTTGAGTGGCGAACAGCCACTCCCCACTTTTGGTTACATTTTCACCTGCTCCTTTTGGCAACACCAGTCATTCTAGCCTTCCTGTGAATCCACCCCCAGCCTCCTTGTCCCTCTCTGGCTTCTTTGTACTTCTTGCTTGATAAAACCGCAGCCCTGGTTAAATCCAACTTAGCCCCTATTCTGTGCCTACAACACTGCAGCTGAACATAACTGGAGAAAAACACATAAGAAAACTACACGTGTTAGTCTTGTGGTTTTGGTGGTGGCTTATGGTTTATCCCTTATGGGAGGGATCTTAGTTCCCCAACCTGGGATTGAACCCAGTACCTCGGCAGTGAAAGGGTGAGTCCTGACCACTGGACCACCAGGGAATTCCTAGTCTAGTATTTTAAATTTTTATCAAAGCATGATTTGCGTACATAAATGTGCACATATTTTATGTGTACTTCTGACAAATTTTCATAAAGTGAACAAACACATATAACTGGCTCCTGCTGACCTTAAAAATACAAGTTATTTTTAGCAGCAAAAATGGGTCTATTCGGGAATAGCAGAGATTTGCGATTCAGGACAGGCAAGCTATAACAAAAGCCATAGTTTTTTTTTTAATAAGAAAAGCCATGGCTTTATAACAAAAGACCAATAAACAGAGGAGAGACATGTTACAGAGGAAAAAGGAGGAAGATGGGAGGGTTTGTTCTGAGTGAAAGCATGTTGGAGAAAAGTGACAATTCAGAGTGTCTCATTGGCAGAGTTTCTCAGCTAGTTGATTTCTTGTCAGAGATGTAGTGTTTATCTTTTTTGTTGGGGTCTCTGATTGATGACTCTTTTTGATCATTCTTCCCTTGGGGTCCATAATTGACGGTTCTTCCTGCAGTTGATGGTGAGTGGTACTGCCTAAGAGCTCCCCCTTCTGGCCTCTTGCCTCCATCTTCATGAGGTTTCCCATTGTTAATTTTCACACTCTCATTGCCAGAACAGCTTCACACCTTTCCAGTCTCTGCCTCCTTACTAATGTTCCACCGTCTGACCTCAGGCATCATAGACCAGTGTGACCAGTTTGTTAACTCTGTGTAAATGGAATCTCTGGTAGACCCTTGGGGATTCCCTCTTAGCTCATCTGGTAAAGGAGCTGCCTACAATGCAGTAGACCCTGGTTCGATTCCTGGATCAGGAAGATCTGCTAGAGAAGGGAAAGGCTACCTGCTCCAGTATTCTGGCCTGGAGAATTCAATGGACTGTATGGCCCATGGGGTCAAAAAGATTCAAACATGACTGAGCGACTTTCAAATGGAATCCATATTGTATGTACTTTTAAATATATGGCTAGTATCCCATTGTATGAATGTATCACTTTATAATATGATAATTCACTCATTTATTTTTTGTTTTATTGAAGTATAGCTGATTAACAGTGTTGTGTTAGTTTCAGGTGTATAGCAAAGTGATTCAGTCACATATACATATACACATACACATGGGGCTTCCCTGATGGCTTAGCAAGTAAAGGGTCTGCCTCCAATGCAGGAGACTCAAGAGATGCAGGTTTGATCCCTGGGTTGGGGAGATTCCCCTGGAGAAGGAAATGGCAACCCCCTCCAGTAGTCTTGCCTGAAAAATCCCATGGACACAGAAGCCTGGTGGGCTACAGTCAGACATGAATGAGTGACTAAGTGCACACACACACACACACACACACACACACACATTCAGATTATTTTCCATTATAGATTATCACAAGATATTAAAACAGTTCTCTATGCTATATAATAGGTCTTTGTTGTTTATTTTATATATAATAGTGTGTATTTCTTAAAGTCTTCCCTGGTGGCTCAGATGGTAAAGAATTTGCCTGCAATGCAGGAGACCTGGATATGATCCCCGGATTGGGAAGATATCCTGGAAAAGGGCATGGCAACCCACTCCAGTATCCTTGCCTGGAGGATTCCATGGACAGGAGAGCCTGGTGGGCTACAGTCCATTGGGTCACAAAGAGCGGTACGCAACTGAGCAACTGAGCACACACACACACAACTGGAAAGGCATATCAAGCATATTGTTTCCTGGGGCTGCCATAACAAAGTACCACAAACTAGATGGCTTAAAACAATAGAAACACTTTCTCTCACAGTTCTGAGGCCAGAAGCACTAAATCAAGGTGTCAGCAGGGATGTGCCCTCTGAAGGCTCTAGGGAGGATTCCTTCCTTGCTTCTTCCAGCTTCTGGTGACCCCAGATGTCTCTTGGCTTGTGGCCACATCCCTCCAATCCCTGCCTCCATCTTCACATGGCCATCTTCTCTCTGCATCCCTATGTTCCTCTCCTCTTATAAGGACATCAGACACTGAATTTAGACTGCACCTAATCCAGTATGGTACACATTGGATTGTTGGATAGCATAACTGATTCAATGGATATGAACTTGGGCAAACCCTGGGAGTTGGTGAGGAACAGGGAGGCCTGGGGTGCTGCATTCCATGGGGTTGCAAAGAGTTGGAC